TTCATTACTAAAACCAGGCTCATCCCAGACAAACTGGGATGATTTATTACCCTAGGGCCAACCTTCTTGAAGCCTGACTGGAGAGCACCAAAGCTGCCAAAGCATGTTTTCACCCACCTCCCCAAAAGAGAGCTGATTCAGCTAAGGAGAGCACTTGGATATGGATGGCATGAATCAGAGCCTCACAGGCAAAGGAGGAGCTCAGTAAAAGAACCCAGTAGGGGAAAGAGAGAGAGAAGCACCTGTATTAAAAATTGGAATCAATGTAGGGGTTTCCACTGTGATTCTGAAAATCAACTACATGATGGCCCTTTCAGTGGAATTTATTACTGCAATGATGGAAAACTGACAATATCAATTCTATTCCCCAGTAGACATGTAGCCTTCACATACTTCTTGCAAAAAAAAAAAAAAAAGGTAAAAATAAATAATTTAAAAAGAAATGAAAAAAATCCATATTTTTCAACAAGTGAGAGACAGGATTCGAATGGACAGATCAGAAAGTATCCAGAAGTTTGAGCCGTATTTCCACCGATCCCAGACATACATACTGTTATGGGTAACCAGACTACGCAATGTGAAAAAAGAGAGGGCAAAGACTATAACAAAAATAGTCTGCCAAAATTTACTGTTTCAGATAGCCAAAACCTGGTAGAAACTCAATGTACTGAAATGTCTGTAGTTTTACTTTAGCTAAAAATAAGCATATTACAAATTGATGGCTAGTGGGAAGCTGCTGCATAGCACAGGGAGATCAGCTGGGTGCTTTGTGATGACCTAGAGGGGTGGGAGGCTCAAGAGGGAGGGGATATGGGGATATATGTATACGTATAGCTGATTCACTTTGTTGTACAGCAGAAACTAACAGAACACTGTAAAGCAATTATACTCCAATAAAGATGTATAAAAAAATAAGCATATTACAGAGACTGATGAAGAGTAAAAAGATGGAGTTATTGATTTTCAGACCCAGGTCAACTGTGATGAAGACATTTCTAGTAGACCATGGAAGTTCAGAAGACATAGAGAATGGAGAGACAGAAAAAATAACTTGGCACACAAGGATGAGTAATTACTAGCTCTCTGCTACTACAATTAGCAAAGTGAAGCATACTGTGAATTCCTGGAAGTGGTCTCAGTAAGCTCCATAGAGAAATTTATTTTGACTATCTTTTGAAAGTTATGAGACTGTGAATCTAGGCATCAAAATGGTAACATTGCTCATGGCAAACAGATGATCAGATCATAAATTACACGTGATGTGTATTCGACTGAATATGAGGTTAAAGGTAAAACTGGCTCTTTCACACTGACCCGGCTGTGGATGAGAGGAAGTGAGAGGAAGGAAGGAAGCGAGGGAGGGGGAAAATGTTTAAAAAATTGTTCAACATGGTTTATATGAGATAGACTATGAAAACAAAGCTTTTGAATAATCTAAAATACAAAGGCCATATAGAAAAATGTAGAGAAAAAACTGGGAGTGAAGAAACTTTCCAAGTGTCAATTCTGAAGTAGCAAAAAAGGCTGGACAATTTTGGAGATGTGTTGGATAAAAGGAGAGGCTTGGGGAGGGGGTAATAAGTGCTCTAATTCAACTGGAGCTCTCTAAGCCCATCCAGCCTTGGGGCCAGGCAAGCCCACTCCATGGAAGATGTTCATGTCCTCCAAAACTGAAGAAAAAGAACTAGGGCAAAGCCAGAGAGAGGTTTGCCCCAAACTACCCAGAAATCAAACTTCGGAAAGATGCAACAGAAACTATGCTTTGGGTAAAAGGATCAGTCCCAGAACAACTATTACAACTTTTAAAGCGTTTTGAGTCTTTCATTATATTGCAGAACTTTTTCTCTCCCTATCGAAATAAGTGTGATAGGGAAACCACATGGCTATTTACCCCACCACTATTCTAAAATACGTGTTTTGTTTAATATGAATTATTTGGCCAAACTGGACAAATTAAATATACGAAGTCTTCCTCAATGGATGATAAGTGCCAATGCTAAGCCATGTTCTCCTGGATGACTGTTGAGGATGACTTCACCTATTTTCTAGCTGTCACTCTGGATAACCAAGTCAGCACTGTGAAGTGTAAGGGTCCATAGCAGGTATATTAGATTGAGGAGGATGTGGGATTAGGACAATGCAGCAGCATTTTGAGCATAGATTTACTTAGATCATGGAAAGAAGAAAGTCCCAACTGGCAGCTGCTGTTGAACACAAATATTACCAACATTGTATTTCAACTCAAAATTGCCCTTGCCTGAGACAGACACCACGGCAGAGAAGGGACTGCAAGACTGGAAGTTGTGTGTTCAGAATCCCCATCTCAGTTCTGTTACTAGGACTAAATTGGTCCCTGAATGTCTTTAGACCTCAGTTTCCTCACAGGGAAAACGAGGGATTGGGTTCAATATGTAATTCAACTCAACATTAATCAAGTGCTTCCTATGTTTCAGGAATTTTACTGGAAGAATAAATTGTTAGGATTCTTACCATTTGGGGCTCCTGTTACAATTTTATGATTCTGTAACAAGAAAACGGACTGTTGTTTACACCTTTATTTAGTGTCTGGGTGGAGAAACCGCAAATCCAGTTCCGCATCCATGCTAACATTCTTTGGTTTCCATGCTAGGGATGCCAAATGTACAGGAAGTGGTCCAGGATGGGAAAAGGCAATGTCATGTGAAACAACTGGACCAAATCATGAGAGAGGAAGCAGCCCCCTCTTGAGATAAGGGGTTTTTTACCCTTCCTCATCCACCCCTTACCCTCTCAGCATTCTCAGGTGATCCTTCCTGGTGGGTCTGCTCAAGCAAAGGAGAAGGCAGGGACCCAGCAAGGAGGTCAGAGTCTGTGGAGAACTGTGGCTCAGCAGAACATCTATTAAATGATGTTTGGTTTGCAGCTGATCCACCATTCTCCTTAAAGAGGGCTCCTCACCTTATGTCTGATTAACTGATATGCATGGAAAGTATAACTAGGAAAAAATTATTGACTCTATTTTTTCTACAATTTTTTTTCAGAGTATTATACATTCTTATTACAGATAATAGGGAGGATCAGAAATATATGGAGAATGAAATAAATATCACCCATGGATATAAAAAGAAAACTCCGATTCATTCCATCTTATGTATTTTTTCAAATTATATATTAACTTTATAAAATATGGACATTTATACATTTTAAACTTAATATTTTCTGAAGTATTCTTTCATGAAATTAAATGCTTTTAGAGATTCATAATTCATATTATCATTTAATATCTCTGATCATTTTTAAAGTAAGAAATTTCAACTTTATCTAATCAGATATTTCCCCAAATCTCCCCTAATTAACATCTGGGGAAAGTGTTCTCCAGGAGAATGTTTGAGAAAGTTTAAATTATCTCTAAGTTATCCCCTTATTCAAATATGGGTTATATCTATACTTTTGGCTTCTTTGTAATTAACTTATTTTGATAGTTTGTTTTTCTTTTGCTGCTGTGTACACAGTGGTGTCCCACACTTCACTGCTGGACATCTCATCTGCTCCATTATGGGAACCAGGTTACTCAGGGCCCCTATATAAATCCTAACTAAAGCCAAATTAAGGGAGGCTGAAGGACTAGGGTCCATGTGGTAATCTACTCTGTTGGGCAAATAGCATTTTTTCCACAATAGCAAGACTGAGAATAACATGCCATTCAGTACCAAGATAAAACCAAGATTCCCAACTGAAGAAGTGCTACCAAAAAATGACCCTTCATATTCCTGCTTTCCAAGCCTTCAGTCTCTGTCACCTACATATCATTTAACTCTTTTAGATAACCGTTTTACTCTTCCAAGTCACCATCTTACTCCACCCGGTCCCAACAATGGACAAACTCAAATGACAGTCATCACATTGCCCTAGCCCACTTACTTTTAGATCTTCTTTGCACTGCAATGAAAAAAACAACCACGGAAATGCAGATCACAGCTAAAATAATACTCAAAGTTATCCATATATTATTTCTGTCATGAAGGAAAATATAGACATCAATTACAAGTGGCAATGTGTGTCAGTACATGCTTAATTTCTCAAAAGAGCCAGATATCTAGTTCATGCTGACCTTAAAGCATCTTACATTTTCTGTCATTTTTTTTTTTGATAACATTTAAATTCTTCTCTACTGTAGCCCCTGTCTACACTAGAGGGGATGGGTCAGTCCTAATCTGATCACTCCACACACACATGCCTCCACCATTTTTTTTTTTTTTGCCTCCACCATTTTTAAATCGACCAGTAAAATAATACAAATAACTTCCCTGGTGTCTTACAGACAAAACAATCATTTCAATGATTTTAATATAATTCAACTATTTACTGTGCCATTGCATAAATATTATGAATAAAAGAAGTGTTTATGTAAGGATAAAGGTAAGCTTCAACTTCACTGTGCTTCCTGTCAATTTATGGGGAGGGGGAAGGTTAAGCTGTGACAAAGTGAGAGAGTGGCATGGACATATATACACTACCAAACGTAAAATAGCTAGCTAGTGGGAAGCAGCCGCATGGCACAGGGAGATCAGCTCGGTGCTTTGTGACCACCTAGAGGGGTGGGATAGGGAGGGTGGGAGGGAGGGAGATGCAAGAGGGAAGAGATATGGGAACATATGTATATGTATAACTGATTCACTTTGTTATAAAGCAGAAACTAACACACCATTGTAAAGCAATTAAATTCCAATAAAGATGTTAAAAAAAATAAGACTCTGGTAAGAAACCCAAGCTCAAGAAAGAATATTGTGAATTTTGAATTTCATATCACACCTCACTTAGCAAAGATATGCTAGCAACTCTAGTCCAAGTAGGAGACTTTGAATAGAATAGTTCAATTTGGTATTGGAAGGTTGCCTAAAAAAGTACAGTTCAGGGGCTCAAAATCATTTTCCTTGCTATTAGAAATTCAACAATACACAAGAAACACAGCTTTTAAAACACTACTCAAGGCAATGAGATGTAATAATATAGAAACTAACCTGATAACAGAAATAGTTATTTCCTTCTTCTCGTTGAGCCTGGGGCTGAGGACCAAAGAGGTCACGGCTACCAGGACTGAAGACTCAGTGGAGAACAGGCTGTTTCCGCCTGCTCTGTTGTTTTCAGAGTGTGGCTTTAAATTCTGTCTTTAGGGAACTCCCCAGCTTGCCTCAGGCTCTGGGTACCAGCCTGCAGCCTGACACACCAGATGGACCACTCTGGCATCACTGTTCTTGATGAGAGGGTGTGGGGAACTTCCTAATCCTGTGAACTGTGAAGGGGACAAGGAGCTCAATTAAGAGAGCAACAACCAAAAATTGTTTTGATCCTAGGTTTTAGTACACTTAACCAAACAGCATGATTGCTCATCTCTTGTGTAACTTAGGTAGTAAGAATATTCTGTGAACAATTTCCTCAGAATGAATGATTATCCTAAGAGATCAAAGGTAGCAGAAAAAGGGAAGAACAAGAAATCTTGAAGGAATGAGATATTAACAAATAGTCAAGAAAAGAAGGTAATAATGCGAAATCGAGTGTTAGGATTTATAGTAATCTCAGAGGCTTGTTGAAGGACACAGTTCTGATTAAGTCATTACACTACCACAAATGTTCAACTGTCAAAACAGATTCACAGCAATCACATGCTGTACCTAGCACCAAACTTTACTATGATTAGTGATAGACACAAAAAGCAAGAACAGAGACAGCAACATCCACCTCTGAAATGGTCTAAAACCATCTGACGTACTTCTCAAAAAAGTCATTTTTCCACCCTGGGATGTATATTGGTTTTACATTAAGAGATAAGTGCTAACAATATGTGTAACACATGTGATTTAAAAGTTAGAGCCTGAGGAAGCCACTTTAGATTCTTAGCTTTTACATTCCATCAATCACACAGGTAGGGAACCTACATGACTGACTTTTGCTCTCTAGTTGTGCCCTATAAACCATAAATTCCAGTTTTATGTACAATAAGCAATGTAGAAAGATCAAGTATCCAGAGATGCTGTTAACTCCTCCTTTCCCAGTTATGAGTGGGTGAATCAATGCTGTAGCCTTCCTTTTTGGGGATGTGCATGAGTTGCAGTCCTGGGAGTGGCAGGAGATTGAATCTGCATATGGAGGACGATTATCTACTCCCTAGACACCCTATTGTACATTGTGGACCCTGGGCCCTCTCAGGACTCCTGATGGAAGACATTGACAGATTTCTGAGCATCCATGAGATGGGCCTTGAGCTCCAATGAAAGTGTCTCTGGCCCTCTACTCGCTTACCTTTCTCCTGGGCTCAGAATTATTCAAGTTAGCACTTCTTTTCATACATCTTCCAGGTCTCCATCTCTGACTCACACTGAGGCCTATAATGCTAAACATATAATACTAAGAAAAAAGGAAGGCTACAGGCAACAGGAGAGAGTGTGAAAAAAGGAATGAATACACTGGAGACACTAAACTGGTCCTTGGGATGCTCTTGGAAATGTAGTAGGGCTGCCCACTAGACAGTGCCCAGTGGTTTGGGAGACTACAAGGTAATAGACATTTCTGGATCTCAACACAATGTTTAAAGCACACAACACACAGAAGCACCATTCATGGTTGATATATTTGGTGAAATCAGGGAACAATGCCGTATTCTGTGTCTGGAGTGATATTTTGGAAACTAATAAAAGCAACTGAGGGAAAACAAATTGACCACTATACTTAGCTACTATTAGAATCCAGATGCTAGTAGCAAATTTGAGCTTTAGACTGTAAACATGGAAATATTTGGAGGAGGCTGTTAGACTTTGATATGATTTTTTGGACTAGAGGTTCAGGGCATTGTTTACTGTCAATGTCAAGATGATTGCTGCTGATATACCAAGGGTAGATCAGCAGCAGCAGCATTTATTGTGCACTTACTATGTACTATGAAATGTACTAATTTCTTTGCATGCATTCTTATTTAAATCACATAATATCTCAATGAAGTAAGTAGTAGAGTTGACCCTTGAACAACACAGGTTTGAACTGTGTGGGTCCACCTACATGCAGATTTTTTCCAATGATTTTTGTATTTTCATTTTACAGATCTTCATACTAAGTGTGGGGAAAAGTATATTCGATTAGAGATCATAATATGTGAAATCAAGAGAACCAGGGTTTGAGTTCTGATTCTGTTCAAACTGGTTCAGCTTTCTGCCCTTGGGTGAGTCATTTATCAATTCCTTTGAGAGATAGCAGTACCCAATTTTCAAGGGCAGTGTTGGGGAGTGAGGGGTTGGTGCCTCAACCCTCACGTTATTCAAGGGTCAGCTGTATTTTTCTCACATTTGTTTAAATAATGGAAAAATGTTAAAGGTCAAGTAACTTGCATAAAAGTGTATTTCTAAAAAATAGTAGAGCATGAACTTCTTCCCAATTTCTTTTTTATTCTTTGTTACAAAATAAGGAATGAATATTATCTTCTCAGAGGTGACTTCCTGTGAGTTTATTTGCGCTCCATCAGTAAGGTATAAAATCTCACCTTGAAATGATAAATAACATAATCTTAGAGGATTTCATCCCTGGAATTATACATTTTAGGCCAGTGTCCAGTTGTTCAACCCTACTAAAATCCTCTGCGCTGACAGGAAAGAGATGATGTGTTACTTCCTCCTACATTCTCTCAGGCCTTCTGCAGTGTTGTTGGGATAACATTTATTGATTGCAATCGTCAGTTAATAAAATTTAAGAAATGTACCAGTAAGTCACTTTGATATAAATATTTGATACTGAATTTATGAAAATATTTGTGGAGAGATTAAATTATAGACATCTGAGAATAGTAAACTTGAGACAGAGAGATGAATATAACATTTCACTGGTCTGATACAATGAGTTTATGGCGTTCTTACCATGATTCAAGGGGAGGAGGGATGTGCTACAAGAAAATTGCATAGAATGGAGATATACTGCACAAAATCACCAGGAGGAGGTGGAATTCCATTTTCTCTTGCCAGTTCTCCTTGTATGTGAGCAGAGTGGTCATGTGAGAAATGACAGGTCTTATCCTAGAACTCAGCCACGCAGACTCCTATCCCAGAGACTCACCTGCCACATACATTTAAAGTACCATTACTGTGACAGGATAAACGCTCAAAGCTGCATCTGTACTGCTCTTCATCAGAAGGGTGTATCTTGCAGCCTCAGAGCAACACTCCCCATGGTGTTCCCTGATGATCAGACATTTAAAAAAACTGTCTTAGCTAAAGCAATTAAATTCCAATAAAGATGTTAAAAAAAAATAAGGCTCTGGTAAGAAACCCAAGCTCAAGAAAGAATATTGTGAATTTTGAATTTCATATCACACCTCACTTAGCAAAGATATGCTAGCACCCCTTAGCTAAGGGGTGATCTTGAGTCCACTCACTCCATGTATTGGGCATCCACTTGTGGGGAGGGTCTGAGGTGACAGGGGAGCACAGCCTTGTGCCCCATCAGGGCAATGATTGGCTCGTTGGCTCCAGCACTGAGTACTTCCCTGGGAAAAAGGAGCTTTGCAAAAAAACACAAACAAACAAACAAAAACTGTCTAAGTGAATCCTAACTGAGCCAAAGAAAGGAGGAGTCAGAACTCTCAGAACTTTTTGGACTCATTATAATTGGCAAGGATATCACTTGCTATTTCCAGAAAACTGCCCCATGTTAACCATTTTTCAAGCTCCTTTTGTATTAGCTAGAGCTTAGAAAACCTTTGTGGATTTTGAATCCACACCTACATAACTCCAAACATTCAGTCAGACTGGAGTGAACCCTAGTTATAACTACAAGAAACACTAAAGTTTCAGAACCATATTTCTAGATGATAATCAAAATTTGACAATAATTTAAAAACAGAAATTACTCTGTATTATGATTCATTTAGCTCTTATCTATGAATAAGATATTTTATTGATGGAGTCATGATACTTAGCTTAAGAAAAACCCACATATTCTGGAATTCTACTTTCAGAATCCCAAAGAACTTATCTTACTCTTGAGACACTTGCAGCTTAAGGATTTATCTGGACTTTCTCTACAGACTTTGCAATTTGAATCAGATGCCAAACTAATTCTCTTATAATCCCCTTCTCTGATAGTATGGGCATCAATGTCTCAAGAGCCACCCTCTCAGGCCAACAATAGCAGGTCTGATTCATGGAGCTTTCTAGTCAACAAAGAGGGCAGATACCATGAACATAAATAAGTAATTATACAGGTGAATTAACCTTCCATAATTAGTGGGTGATTCAGTCCCTTCACAGTTGCTGCTGGTTTATTATAGAATCCATCTCTGTCCTCCCAATATCAACAGATGCTCACAGACTCTTAGATCACTGTCTCTGAGCTCTCAGACCACCCTTTCTCCCAAGTGCTGCCTCCTTAGCTATATGGAATCCCAGGTCAAGTTCTCTGCTCTGACAAAATATATGTTAAATCACACTTAATAACCTGAAGAGCCTCAGCTAACAAAATCCCCATGTTCTCATGCTCAGATGCAAGAGACATTATTTATTCAAATTATTTGGCAAATTATTATTTATTGGACGCACAGCTATAGACTAAAGTTTGTGTCCCCTCAAAATTCTTATATTGAAAACTAGCCCCTAATATGATGGTATTTAGAGGTGGGCTGTTGGGAGGTGACTAGTCATAAGGGTGGTGTCCTCATGAATGGAATTAGTGCCCTTATAAAAGATACCCCAGAGAGCTCCTTCACCTTTTCTGCCTTGTGAGGACACAGTGAGAAGACCACCACCTGTGAAACTCTTAAGAAGAGGGCTCTCACCAGAAATTGAATCTGCCAGTGTGTTGATCCTGGACTTCCCAACCTCTAGAACAGTGAGGATAAATCTGTTTTTAAGTCAGTCAGTCTATGGTATTTTTGTTATAGCAGCCCAAACGGACTAAGACCTCTACTATGTGGCAATCATGTTCCAAGCCTTAGGGACAGAGCGTGCATTGCCACGAACAGTAAGGAGGCCAGTGTGGCTGGAGCACTGGGAGCAAATGTGGTTAATCATGGCTATATTCCTGTTTCTTTCCCTTCAAATAATGCAAGTCACTGTTACTATTCCTTCAAGTACAGCTGAAGTGTGACTGCAGCACACTCTCTGTCCTCTTGCCTGGACTCCTGTACAATTTAAGTGTTTTCACTAGAAGTCTGTGGACTCACTATAACAGATTTTCCCTTTCGAAACTGAGACTTGATGCCAACTCAAGGACTTTTAAAATTAAGTTCCCTCTGTCTGTACCACTTTTCTCCAG